GGACACAGGACTCAAGATGGGGCCTCACAAGGACAGTGTAGAGGGGAAGGAAAACCTCCCTTGACCTGCTGGCCACACTCCTCTTCATGCACCCCAGAATCCCATTGGCCTTCTTGGCAGCCAGGGCACGCTGCTGGCTCACAGAGTAACATACGTAATTATGTCAAACACACCTCTACGGAAAGAAGGGAACACCCAAAGCATCAGATCAATGGAATTTCTCACAAAACCCCTCCAACACCAGAAAAACAAGGATTTTGCCCAAGCACACTGAACGCTGCAGATAATCTACAAATCCCAGGTGGATTTCAGGTTAATTCCCAGTAAATCTCGTTGTGAATAAATCCGGACTAAAACCTGACTCGCCGTTAGCCTGGTTTTGGAAAACGGGGAGATTTCAGGAGAGACTTACAATCCAGATCCCGTCGTAGGGCACTTGGTTGTAAAAGATTTTGCATTCCTCCACCCACCAGCTGGTGCAGTCGGGGTTGGTGTAGTCCGGGAAGACGGTTTGTCCCGGCCACACCTACAATTTAAAAAATAAGAAAAAAATAGAAATTAATTAACTTAAACTGTTGATGACTTTGCAGAAAGATTAAAATCCTCGCATGTCCTACAGATTTATGCGAATTGCTCTCTTGGAGAAACGTTTTGGGTACGAAACCTGAGGATGGCAAGTTTTGCAGGACAGAGTTGATAACGCAAACAGGAGAAGGCTTTTGAGCCTGACTGTGGGAGTGAATCATCATTGTTAAGTAATATTAGGTCTCATTATTAAATAATAAGATTAAATTAAATAATATGATTAAATAAATCAAATCATATTATTTTAATAAATTAAATAATAAAATTAAATATATTAAATCATATGATTAAATAAATTAAATAATATTATTAAAATAAATAATAATTAATCATTATTAAATATTATTAAATAATACATGTTATTCTTATTACAGAATATAATTTCTCCCCGCTAATTAATATTTGCTATATCACTCTTAAATTTACATGCAGAAAGTGGTTTTCTTAACTTCCGAGTTCTAAACTCCAAAGCCGCTTTTAAAGTCAGCCTTATTTTTAAGCTATGCAAATTTGCAGCTGCATTTGTAAGCCTATTCTAAATATAATATATATACTGTTTTCAAAGCAGTAAAGAGGGGATTGCTGTCTTGTAAAAATGGAAAATAAACCGAGGTTGGCTGCCCGTGTCTCCCTATCCTTCAAAATATCTCGTGTTTCCCTTTGAAAAACCAAAGTAGAAAGAAAATTGATTAAAAAACCAGGAAATGTTGCAAAATATTGAGAATAGCTGAAAAACGGAAGATTACCCTGGCCCGAAATAAACAGGATTTGGGCTCCAATTTCATGCAGGTTTAATTACCTCTCCGAGTAAGGGTGTGACTCCATCTGACTCATTGATCCAAACTTTCTTGCTCTGCCCCCTCTTGTAGGCTTCGTAGGGGGAACCATCAGCCAGAGGCTCTGTGCTAATGGCGGGATCCTAAAAAAATGGAAAACCACCCAAAAAAGAAAGCTCCTTTCTGCCCGTTATCGGATCTCCCCACTGATGACGTAGAGCCCAGCAACTACACGGAGAGAAGTCTCATGTAACATGTATACATTATGTATATATGTATATGTATATGTATAT